ATATCAGTGGTATCCTTGATGCCTGAATCTTTTGGGCTAAGGCTGCTGCCCCAAGGTCCTCTCTCATTGTGTAATTCTCAAAGTATTTTGTCAACTTCCGGATGATTTATATACATCTCAAGAGGACCCCATCAAAAGATTTCTTATATACTTGGTCCCTATCTCTGACAGGCTTGGTCTCCCCGTCCATCAGGTTCGCCACTTGTGAGGAGAGAAAGAGCTCAATCCCAGGAGGCCAGTTGAGGAGCAAACTCCTGAAAATCCTGGAGACAGGGAATGAGCTACCATAACAAAGGGACCTACCTAAGGGGCTCTACCTTCATTGTGGTCGTGTCCAAATGAGGCCATTTGACGTGCATTATTGTTTTTTTTTTCCAACAAAGTTACATAGGAATGGAACTTGAAAAATTGTGCTATGAAAACCCGACCTCTACCGTTTTGACCCAAACCCGATGCCTTACAAATTTGGACTATTTCTCGATTTGTGCATTTCATCCTCGCGCAAGAGCTATGCTAATATTCTCTGTATCGTTCCAATTTTATCGGATGTCTCCGAAAAGACATTTGATGAACATTATTCAAGTCATTTACGAATAAAAATAACCTGAAATGATCTTATACTACAATATGTAGCGTACAAGCATTCCAGTTTGCAGTCTACATAGGTTTGTGACGGCAGCAAGCTAGTGGAAGTCTTTCATTTAGTAATTAGCATTATTCATAATGTAATCAAATTGCAATATTTCAATTCTTATACATGCCTAATAAAGATGTTGGATGATGTTTTTGGAGATGCATTTGAGTGGTTGGTGAAATTTGATGTATCACAAGTTAGTCCTAGCACGAAGGTTGACATTACCTTAAATGTTTGTATGCTGTTGTGGTTTTGAATTTTGAATTTTGAATTTTTGGTTTGTATTTTTGCCTAAGCCTTTTTGTAATTCTGCTTAAGCTTTATCTACTAGTCTCTCTAAATGCCGTGAGACCAACTGGATCTGAGCACAAACTCTGACATTCATTTTCCGAGTTCTAATAAGTTTTCATATTAATTGTGATTTTTGAATTGTATATTTGTAATGGGAGTTGGTGTAATAAGGGTGAAGACATTGAGATTTCTTTAACCCATCCCAAGCTTAAGTAAAAGAAGTAGGATGTGTTAAATAGACAGTCAACATAAAACTTTGTTATATCTTATCATGAATCACTTCAGGTGTGCCTGATGCATAATGGCTTTATACTAACTCCCAACGTACCATTAACCATCAAAGCCAAGGTAGCTATGGTGTCGGCAAATCTATTGCTTAACCTTGCAACATGTTGGAAAGTTACATATTCAAAGTATTTTGCCAATTTCTCCACTCTTTCTCGAAAAGATATCAATTTTTATTCTCTTACTTTCCATGTTCTTTGAGCTTGGCTTATTTATTACTTGAAGAGAGTTCCCAATAACCCACAATATTTAGAATCGAAGTTCAGCGGCATTCTCAAGTCTAGTTATTAAGGCCTCGTACTTGGCGATGTCAAAGCAATGGAGGTAGGGCTGCCAAAGGTTGACACGACACGATGTTAATCCCATAGGCCCAACACGACTGGGCCCGAAATATATTTTCTGGGCCGAGCCAGACAGCCTACCCAAAAATCTTCAAAGAAGCTCAGCCTGGCCCATTTGGCTTTTTACTTTTCATTTCATTTTTTTCTTTTTTCAAAGAAGATCTCTCTATCTCTCGACAAAATACAACGTACAATAATAAGAAAAACTGCAAAGGAGATTTCTCTCTCTCTATAATGTACATTAATAATAGGGATTGTATACAATGAAACCATTTATCTTTCATACAAGGCAGTCAGAATTACTTACAACTATCTGATGTGAAATTTGATAGCTTGGATGTGTCACAAAGTTCGAGAAAGTTTCTTTTGAAGTTTGAGCTTGGTCAGTGGAATAATTGCAGCCAACCAATTTCACATCCAATAGTCAAGATTAATGTGACCACCTTTTACCAAAGGTAAATGGTCTCATCCTATACTTTGTCTTAATAATAATAAAAAACATAAACAAAAACACACACCCACTCTCTTTCTCTATAACGTACTATAACAAAAAAAAACACAAATGTAAACTCTCTCTAGTCGACATGAGCAAATGGCTATACAAAGACCCATTTAAAAGTAAAAGCAAGCAAGAAAAAATAAAAATTCTTTCTTTTTCTCTCCCAGTATAGAAATGCGCTCTCTCTCCAATGTACAATATTAACAAGAAATAACACAAACGAAAACACACACTCCCTCTCTATAATGTACAATATAACAAGAAAACACACAAATGTCAAAACTCTCTCCCTCATCGACATGAACAAAATGACCCAATTTAAAAGTAAAAGCAAGCAATGAACACAACACACGTTCACATAACAAACTGCCTTCCACTATATTAAGAAACAAAGACTACAACATAATAAAACCCTGAGCCATGGCACAAAGAGCAAGAAGTAAAGAAGTTCTGCATCATAAGCTTATGTAAAATCAACAATGGTTGTTTCAACTGTAACCCAAGGTGTGTGCAATTGTTAAGGCAGATGTTTGCTATATAAACAGAACCACCTGAAGATCTTGTGAGAAAGCTAGTCATGAATGAATTGCAAAGAGTTGGTGTGTCCCTACCAAGCCTTCAAAAGGGCTTGGAGGTGAGAAAATAGTAACACTGAAGCCTCCATCTTCATCATCTTTTTGTGTAGTCTTAAGCTTAATCTGATCTATAAGAGAAGGCCACAACTGTGTGGTGCAGAGATCAACAAAAAATAATCCAGCTACCCAAACAGATGATAGGCCAACTTGAAATGTTTTTGCAAATAGAGAAAAGCAAAGATGGAAAGGACAAAAAGTCCATATCAATTAAAAGATCAAGCAATTGGAGGATTTCTTCAAAAAGAAAAAAAAAAAGGATCCCAACATAATCTAACTCTTACTAGATTATTGTAGAATTCTACATTCCTTCCATCACCATGCCAAAATCGGCAATTAATAATGACTTGAAGGACTTTCTCCATTGACCACTCACTGTCCATATTTTATGCATCCACGCTGCTGTTAAAGAGATCTAGTACCTGCAATAGACAGATTGACTTACTGATTTAGTCCATTCCTTATAAGTATTATGACCATCAGAGAACCAATGGATGTATGATGCTAAACATCTAGTATCTGCGATAGAGATAAATGTCTTATTGATTTAGTATATTCCTTATTAAGTATTACGACCATCACATAACCAAAGGATGTGTGATGTAGAAGACATTATTGTACAATGGAACACTAATTAGTATCTGCAAATTCATAAAAAATACAATAACTATTTCATCTACAGTCTCCAAGGAGTTCCTGACAGAATAATCTTACCATTGAAAGACGAATCCTAACTTAGTATAACAAGTATATCATAAAGCATTATGAACACATGCATCAACTGTATATCTACATGGCACATGCAATTATGAAATTTAGTTCACAAATGCTCTTTACATTTTTTATGCACTGAAATTCCAAATATTACCATAATAAAATAGATGGTCACGATAAAAAGCCAATAAAATTTTTCTGATGCATAAAAACCAACGAAAAACAAATAGCAGTGCCATAGTAATTTGTTCTTTCTATATGAAACCTAAGAAATGATCTTTTTAAGCATGTAAATGATCTATTTTAGCATAGTTTTTTGAGTTACTTACATACGGATCCTATATAAATACGTAAAATACGGTTTGCTCCTCTTATAAGCGAATATTACAACTAAGGTCGGTTTGACCGACTATGTTTTTTTTTTTCTAGCCAAATTTATTTATTTTTCTTTTTATAATTTCCATTGGTAGGGCAGAGCCCGACGATATGGTTCGAGGTTCGAATCCTCGAGGACCGCTAAAGGTTTTTAAGTCATACCAATTGCGGTTCGAGGTTAGAATCCTCGGATAGTGTCAGTCTGAGGATGGTGATATCAAACCGCCCCATCAAGTAATGAAAACACTACGATCCGAGATCTGAAACCTCAGATTGTGAGTTAAGTTAAAATTTCGATCTGGTAACCTAAACCTCGGACTGCTTTAATTTTTTTTGCAAACTTGCAATATGAGGATTCTAACCTCGGGCTTGCAAAATTGCGATATGAGGATTCTAACCTCGGACCGCTCTCTGATTCACTTAAAACCTGAAAACCCCGAATTTCTGTTCATATTCTCTCTCTCAACCTCGCTCTCTCTCTCTCTCTGTATATATATATCTATATCTATATATATATATATATATCTATATCTATATATATATATATATATATATGTGTGTGTGTGTGTGTGTGTGTGTGTGTGTGTGTGTGTATGTGTGTGTGTGTATATATATATGGAAAAAGTTTATATAGAGCCAAGGTTCTAAACAATCAAATTAGAGCCCACCTAAAACATTTCACTAGAAAACGTTGTTTTGATGCTCAAATATCCTCAGATTGATCATCTTGACATCAAGATGCATGGACATGAGAAAACAATTGACTCCAAGATTTGGAAATAGTGCATCTTGTAACGAATTTTTGGACCGTCAATTTTCAAAATTTTCAAGTTTTCATAGATCCATTTGATCTACAATATTTTTGAAGCTTTAAATTTTATAATTAAAGACAAAAATATATTTTAAGGCTATCACAAAGGTTTTCAGTATTGAAAGTACATTTCTCAATACTATTTGAAGGTGCACTTTACTTTGATTGTTTAGAGCCTTGGCTCTATATAAACCGCACCTTATATATATATATATATATATACTGTCAACCGGCCCCAAATTGAACGAAAGGATCTCCGGCACATTTCTGCAATTCCGTCGTGATTTGAAAAACCAGCTGAATTGTTTTTTTTTCATACCCTATTAGTTAAAGGTTTTTGAAGGGGAAGTTGAATTCTTAAATTGGGGGTTGCCATTAATTCAAAAGGCGATGATTAGGATTGCTAGAATGGATAATATCACCTGATATTCAAAAGGCGATGATTAGGGTTGCTAGAATGGATAATATCACCTGACATGAGAAAAAATTATGAGGGTTTGGATTTCTTTTTTTGACAATCGAAAATTTTTCTAAACAATGAGAAAATATCGAAAATGCTTGAATCAATTGAAAATGAGAAATAATTAGGAGGGTTTGCATTTCTTCATTTTGACAATCGAAAATGAGGGTTTTTAAACAATAAGAAAAAATTGAAAATGCTTGAATCAATTGAAATGAGAAAAAACGAACATGAGGGTTTGTTAAACAATAAAAAATCAGAAAAACAATTACTAGGGGCAATCAACAAAGCATGAATTTCCTCATTTTGACATGAGGATTTTTTTGTTTGTTTGAATGTAGTGTAAAATCAGTGGTTTTAGTGTTATATTTTCATTTATATATGTAATTTATTATTTAATTTAATTATTTTGTGATATGTCATGCTCAATGTATAAATGCTCCTAGAAATTTACCGAAAGTATCATGAAATCATGAGTTAGGGTTTAATTGGCATGAAAATGTCAAATTTTCTTTCATTTTATTTGTAATTTATCTTCTTTAACTGTGCTACAGTGGGTTTTGTGGTTTTTGAAGAATTTTGGGGCCGGGACTTTAAATTTATTTAGATTGCATGAATTATATTGGATTTCCTGAGAATAGTGCTTTACTTTTATTATGAGAACATAAGAGAAAGTTGAATGGATGGTTTATAATTAGAGAATAGTGCTTTGATTTGATTATGAAAAGGCGAAGCAAAGTTGAATGGATGGTTTAGGATTTGAGAATAGTGCTTCGATTTGTTTATGCGAACATGAAAAAAAGTTGAATAGAAAAGTTGAGAATAATGCCTTGATTTGAGACTGACTTTGGAATATAACATCACCTATTTTTTACTTATTGATGGATGGTTTATGTAATGTTTATCTCAGGATATTTCACTTGAATTTCATCACTCTTTTTGAACCCCTGTTATAAATATTGTAATGAAAGTGAGAGCTTGAACTAATGAAAAAAACAAAAAAGCGATAATGTTATGATTTTATAAATTTATTTGTTATTTCCTAATTCATATTCCCTTGACATACCTTGTATATCTAGAGTGTGATACATAATGCAACACGAGGGTTCTTATCATCTAATCTATAGGTTGGTTAGCGATGGAGGGAGAGTGGACCCCATCGATTTTAACATAAACTCGATCATGCATGTCACTCTCCCTCCTTCATTGTCCAACCTACTGAATGGATAGTGATAACTTGGGAAGGTTTCTATACTTCCCCTACTACATAGAAGATATATGCTTCCTCTACCATCCAACTATCCAATTTTGATCAAAAGAGCCACTCACCGTTAGATCTTAGATCCGACGTCTCAAAGTATTTTTTGTATGAATATGAAATTTGGTATGCACTATCTTCTCATTGGGGTGCACCTATAAAATATATTAAAAAATAAATTTTCGATAAAATATAATGACCAAAAAACCTCTTGAAACTTTCATTATCACTTTAACTTTAACATTATCACTTCTTTGTTTTTTCATTAGTTCAAGCTCTCACTTTCACTACAATATTTATAACAGGGATTCAAAAAGAGTCATGAAATTCAAGTGAAATATCCTGAGATAAACATTACATAAACCATCCATCAACAAGGAAAAAATAGGTCATGTTATATTTCAATGGCAAATAAAACCAAAGTCACAATATCAAATCAAGGCATTATTCTCAACTTTTCCATTCAACTTTTCTTCATGTTCTCATAAACAAATCAAAGCACTATCCTCAAATCCTAAACCATCCATTTAACTTTGCATCACCTTTTCATAATCAAATCAAAGCACTATTCTCTAATCATAAAACATCCATTCAACTTTTTCTCATGTTCTCATAGTAAAATCAACGCACTATTCTCAGCAAATCAAATATGATTCACGCATTCTAGATAAATTTAAAGTCCCAGTCCCCCCAAATTCTTCAAAATGCATAAAATCCATTGTAGCGTAGTTAAAGAAGATAAATTACAAATAAAACCAAAGAATTTTTGACATTTTCATTCTAATTAAACCCTAACTCACGATTTCATGATATTTTCGATAAATTTCTAGGGGCAATTACATATGGGTGCGGTTTGTATAGAGCCGAGGCTCTAAACAATCAAATTAGAGCCCACCATCAAATAGTATCGAGAAATATGGTTTCAATACTGAAGTTTTTGTATTAGCCTTAAAATATACTTCCATCTTAAATTATAAAATTTAAAGCTTCAAAAATAGTGTAGATCAAGCATATCTATGAAAATATGAAAATCTTGAAAATTGACGGTCAAAATGTGCGTTATAAGATGCACTATTTCCAAAACTTGAAATCCATTTTCTGCTCATGTCCATCCATCTTGATGTCGAGATAATCAATTTGATGACATTTGAGCATCAAAACAACCTATTCTAGTGAAATTTTTGAGGTAGGCTCTAATTTCATTGTTTAGAGCTTAGGCTCTATATAAACTTTTCCCTTTACACATTGAGCATGACATATTACAAAATAATTAAATTAAAAAATAAATTACATGTATAAAAGAAAATATAACACCAAAACCATTGATTTTACACTACATTCAAACAAACAAACCAAAACCCTCATATGTCAAAATGAAGAAATTCATGGCTCTATTGATTGCCCCTAGTAATTTTTTTTTTTTTTATTGTTTAAAGAACCCTCATATTCGATTTTTTCTCATTTAGATTGATTCAAGCATTTTCGATTTTTTCTCATTGTTTAAAAACCCTCATTTTCGATTGTCAAAATGAAGAAATCCAAACCCTCATAATTTTTTCTCATTTTCAATTGATTCAAGCATTTTCGATATTTTCTCATTGTCTAGAAACCCACATTTTCGATTGTCAAAAAGAAGAAAGCCAAACCCTCATAATTTTTTCTTATATGTCAGGTGATATTATTCATTCTAGCAAACCTAATTATCTCCTTTGAATGAATGGCAACCTGCAATTTAACAATCCAACTTTCCCTTAAAAAACTTTAACTAAAATAGGGTATGAAAAAACAAAAAAAATCACTTGGT